TAATTCCACACTAAGTGTCTAAACTGGAACCTAATACACACTCTCTTTAGCTTCTAGGATCTTTTCATCACGAACGCTTACAGATAGTAACATTAAGTATAATAAGTTATGAATGATAATAAATAGCAACCTATAAAGAAAACTACCTTTTCATTACCAAGATGGATTTACAGTACATGTTTGATTTGGTACATGAATTAATTTCAACCACATATATATGGGTGATTATTTTTCCCCTTTGTAACTTCACCATAAGAAGGCATTGCTCTACGTGAGTATGTCAGATACTGAAATAGACGTAAAACTGAACTGGATTAAGAGAAATCAAGACACCATTGTTTACAAATGCAGAGAAGTGTCAGCCATGTCAATACTTTAGTTTCAAGTAACTGAAAAGCTTCACTCAAAACAATTAGGTGATAAGGAAATTACCCCCAATAACAAGAGGTCCAGAGGTTGGGTGCGGCAGGGTTAGGGCTCTCTAGCTCTGTTTTTCTGAGATTCTTGTGGCTCTGCCATTCTGTTACACTGGTTTCACCTCAGGCTGTGGGGTGGCTACAAAATTCTAGCCATTCCATCCCAATAGCGCAAAATCCAGAAGTAAACTCTCTGTTCCACATCTCATTTTTAAGAAAGAATTTACTCAGAAGCCTCAACAACACATTGGCTCAAATTGGTTATGTCCATTGAGCATGAGAATTGCTAGCAAGAAAAACCGGACTACCATAATTAAAACTCATCCCACTGCGAGACGGTAGCTATTACACGTGCCCAGGAAATCATCACCAAAACTTTTTTCAGTCTTGCCAATTATCATCAAGTACTTACTGGTAAATACCGCGTTTTCCACTAGTGATGAGATGCAACAATCCGTAGGTGGAGGACTGAATACTTAGGGGAAATGAGAGTGGTATAAGATACTGCATCTTATCCCCACCTCCAAAAAAAAAAGAAAAAAAAAATTACTTGCAGCTAAACTGCCAGTGAAGGAGCTCTGGTGGCATAGTGGTTAAGGCACCTGGCTGCTACCCAGGTCAGCGGTTCAAACCCCCCAGTCACTCTGTGGAAGGAAGATGAAGTGATCTACTTCCATGAAGATTTACAACCTCAGAAACACAACGGGGATCACTATGAGTCAGAATCAACTTGATGGCAGTGAGTTTGGTTTTGGTTTTGGTAAACTGCCAGTGGCCCCTTTAAGACAATAATGAAAAAAGTTAAAACAATACTGTAAGTTTCCACAAGCCTATAATATGACAGAAAATTTGAGCTTCTACTGGTTGCCTTTAAGTCAATTCCAATTCATGGAGACCCCATGTGTTGTAGAATAGAACTGCACTCCATTTGTCCTGTGACCTTTCACACCACTAGGCCTTTCTTCTGAGACAGCTCTGGTTGGATCTGAACTACCAAACTTTATGTTAGTAGCTGTTTTGGTTACCTAGCTGCCCTAACAGAAAAAACACCACAGATGGGATGGCTTGAACAAACAGGAGTTTATTCTCTTCCAGTTTTGGAGGCTAGAAGTCTGAGTTCAAAGTGCCAGGCTGTAGGGACTGGGTGAAAACCCCTCAACCTTGGCCTTTAACTCTGCCTCTTGCTCCCGGCCCACTGAAGCTGGAGGTTTTCTTCACTCAGGCAGCTGCTGGCTGCTGAGGGTGACAAACCCAAGGGCAACAAACAAAAAGGCAGTCTTGATACTACCAAACCACATGGCAGGCCATTGACTGAATTTCATTTAAAGTCCCAAGATCAGCTGTGCATGGCAGGCTGCTGAATGAAGACTTGGCTACATGCAGGGTCCAAGCAGGCCAAAGAGCTGTAGACCATCCCCAAAGCTTCTCCTTATATAGGGGAAGCAGATCACATCCCTAAAGCAGCTACTCACCTGCTCGTGGCAGATTCCACCATGGAGATGACTGCCAGTCTCATCGTGGGAAATAACTACCACCAGCTTGGGCCAGGCCCAGCCAAGGTGACATATAACCTTAACTACCACAGTAGCCCAGAACTTAACTGCTTGTACCACCTGTTGTTGTTGTTATTTGCTGTCGAGTCGGCCCCGACTCATAGCGACCCCTCCTTGGGTTTCCGAGGCAGTATCACTACGGAAGTAGGATTGCCCAACCTTCCTTCCGAGGAGTGGCTGGTGGGTTTGAACCGCCAGCCTTCTGGTTAGCAGTCAAGTGCCTTGGGCACTATGCTATCAGAGCTCCCGCTTGTGCCACCTAGTGACTCCATATCTTTATGAAATCCATGGGCATCTGAGGTGTAATGAATTACTTAATATGGCTCTTCTAGACGAAGTCCTCCATTTTGTGATGTGTTATAAATCCTAGCCTTTATGCCAGCAGTTATTATGGTCCCATTTTGGAGTTATACATTACATTGAGGATTAGGGTGGAATGCATCTTGCAAAAAGGTATGACCATCCTTCCAAAAGGGTATGCCTCAAGTCACCACCCTTACCCTAGTCACTACCTTCACATTCTTGTCCTACCTTGCTCAAGCAAGGAGAGCTCCCTTGAGGGTATGGTCTGCATCCAATATATATGAATGCTCAGGCAAAGTTCTCTCTTTGCATCCTGCATCCTCTGACCTCCAGTTCTTGGGACTTGAGCCAGAAGCTTATCACCTGACCTGATCTGCCAGCTTCCACATAGCCTTGTGAACCAGCGACCTGCCACCAGACATGCCAATTTGGGTTCAGCAGCCCCTGCAACCAACTGAGTCGGCAGAGGCCTCCATGGACCCAGATTCGGGACTAGCCAGCCTCCACAACCACATAACCATTTTCTTGCTGGTTAACAAGTTCTGTGAGTCATTGCAATGAACTACAGAACCCAAAGGAGAGTATGAGGGGATGAGTAGCAGCTGATGTTAGAGATGATGGAGTGGTCTAGCAGTTTGGAAAAGCTGGACATTTGGGACATCTTTAACCTCTGCCTCACAGGAATCCAGCTCTGTGCCGATCCTTCTAAAAGAAAATACTCGTGCAGTAGCACAAACTGTTTACACTCCACTACTAACTTAAAAGTCAGCAGTTCAAACCCATCCAGTAGCTTCGCAGAAGGGCCCAGCAATCTGCTCTCATAGGCTCCAGCCAACAAAACTCTATGGTGTTCTACTCTGTAACATATGGGGTTGCCATGAGCCAGAATCAACTCAAAGGCAACTGGTTTGTTTTTACAAAACCTGTCCTTATAAAACCTCTTCTGGTTCTCTTATTAGTTCAGAGACGTAAGTGTAACATTTCCCTAGAATCAGGGCTTTGTGGACCAGCTCCTGACTTCTCCACTGGCTTACACAGGCCCAGAAACACAAAGGAAAGTTAGTAAGAAAAGGAACGTGGCTGAATTCTTACATTTTTTAAAATGTACAATGTCAACAACTACTGTATTAGTATCATTAATTATAAAAACAGAATACTTGATTTATGAGCATTATTTTCCTCATTCATCTCATCAAACAGAAAAAAGATGTATATTTGAATCTAGCTTCTTGACAACACACATAAAGCAAATATATGTTGGCAGACAACTACTCATTTGAACACTTAAATGGAAAGCAGTTAAGCATATTTTTCATATCAACTAGAAATCACTAGTCTTCAGTTCTAGGTGAAGTCCTTTAAAAAGTTTATTTTGTGCCAAGAATATTTTTCTAAAGCATTACAAAATTATACATCCAGACTCTTCAATGATAGAATATTTAACATTCTAAAAGGCCTTTAAAGGAAACTGTTGTACATGATGATACTATAAATCTCATGAATCCACACAGCAGCAGAGCCTAGAAGGGCATGATGGAAACCATCTATTACATAACAAACAGGGGATTCCTTTTTGAGTATATATAGTTTTCTCTCTGCTTGTGGCTAATATAATCCCTCCATTGCCCTCCCCACTTCTTTACTATGAAGTGAAAACACTCTGTGTTCTAATTCTTCACGAAGCAAAAATACATTTAATGTTTTATCCTAGTGATTCCCATCTGTCAAATAGCACAAATTATAAGATTTTCATCTTTTAAAAATCTATGTTACGATTTAAAAACATCAAGAATCCAATGACTTTGTAAAATGAACTAAAAACTTGCTATATATGAGGACAAAACTACATCGAGAAGAGTTTTTGTTCCTGAGTAGAATGAAAACTTTATTTCAAAGTAAGCTTCTGTGAACTTTTGAAATGTAAATGTAAGGCTTTTCCACATCAAATAAAAATCAGGAATGTTCAACTTCACAAAGAAAAAGAGAAGACATTCAAAAAGACTAATGTAAAATCTGAGATGAGTGACCACCATTTTAAATAGGTTGTAGATAGCTCAATTTTAGGGGATCCCTTAGGAAACTTTATCAGTTTGAAACAAAAACAAGAAAGTACTATTTACTAAAACATGGAAAATTTTCCACACATCTAACTTGGAAAATTTTAAAAGTAACCAATGACAATAAGAAAAACACAAATCACAGACCAAACAGAAGAGGCAATCACCAACCTTCATAGGAAGCACACCGCCCCCATGGACTCAGAAAAGCTGCCGACATCAGGAGCACATCTTGCATTATCATTATATGTAGAAAATTATAATTAAAGTAAGGTCATTTTTATTAATTGCATAATCTAAAAATATGAGGAAAATTTAGACTCTATCTCTAAAAAGACCAGAGCTGTCATTGAAATATACATTTCTTCCGATAATGGGCAAAATTCCCATTTATGGGAAATATGTTCTTTTTTCACACAGTGAAACTAAGAAAAATTATACCAAATGAGAAATCCTTTCTCTAAAGTAAATGTGTTAGTACCTCCTCTTAAATACCTCAATAATGCAATACTTGGAAAATGTAAAATTCTCAACTCAGACTTGAAACAATTATTAAACAAACATACCTCAAATTTTACTGCTTGGCACCAGATTTTGTAAAGATTAAAGAACTGTTTAAACCACCATGCTGTTCCTAAATCATATTTCAAACATTTAAACCTAGTGCTACTTTTATTTTCTGAAGGTGGACTGCTCAATCTGATGACAATCTAGATTGAATCCTGCAATGTACAAGTCACAGTTCACTCCAAACCAAAGGAAATTATCAATCTTCCATTCTGTCAAAATCAAAGCATGAAGATATTTATAAAATTAGGATTTATCCGTGGCCAACGAAGGGCCCACCGAACGCTGTCGTATTGCATTCTGTGGAAAGTCTTTGTTTGTCCCTTTACTTTCTGCTTCCTCATCTGAAACGCCATCCTCATCAGTCTCTTGTTCCTCCTCCACTTTCTTCAAAGGTTGAGAAGATTCTGGTAATAATTTTTCTTAAAGAAAAAACCAAAAATGTGTTTTTCCTGACACAGTAGATTCATTTTAGAGTGAAATCAAGATACATTCACAGTGCAATAGTGCAATAATGATTCATAATGTCTATAAACTGCTTTTGTATTTATCATGTATTAGCATTTCTAAATAGTAGACAATGTAAAATAAAAACTGGTTTGAAAGTTCCATTCTACTTACCAATTTATTCTAACTATCCACCTATTTATAAGCTGAACTGAAATTAATGAACCAAAATTAATACTGTGAATATATAAGAAAATACACTGTATTAAGCATAACTACCTAATATTAATTTGTAATTAAATCTTTTAGCCAGTATACTGAAATAAACTTCAACACTACCCTTGTTTCAGTTCGCAAGCAAACAGGAAACAGACATTTATGGCTGAAGGTTGTAAATATGTCCGTACTTTTTAAACTGGTTTCATAATGTGCTTCTGCTTCCCTTCTCCCATATATAAATTTATTATAATTAAAAACAGTACATTGTACAAATCTTAAGTATACCGCTCAATGAAGTTTTAAATATGTACACACATCCCTTTCATTCTTTATAGGGTCTATTGCTAATTATGTTTAGTGCATACATTGTTACTGAGACCCTGGCCTTTGAATCTATCTTCTCATATTACTCACACAATCTTGAGAACTGGGGCAGTAAGCTTTATCTGCTCATTGATCCCAGACTGCCCCTAATCCAAGAAAAACCAAGAGAACTTGGGGGAAGGGGCATGAAGTAGACTAAGGAAGAAATCACCACGTGATGGACAATCTGGTGTGTGGTCTGCCTGCTGTTGTTGTTGTTATGGGCTGCTGAGTCGCCCCGACTCACAGCAACCCCACCTTGGGTTTGTGAGGTGGTATCACTATGGAAATAGATTGCCCCATCTTCCTTCCAAGGAGTGGCTGGTGGGTTTGAACCGCTAGCCTTCTGGTTAGCAGTCAAGTACCTTAGGCACTATGCTACCAGAGCTCCTAGTATTCCCCTTTCTATCAGGTTAATAGCTGCTCTTCTATTCCTCACCCCATGGGATTCTGGTGAATGCTACAGTTACACCAGTGGTTCTTGCGGGGGAAGGAGGGGACTGCTCCCCAGCCCCGCTCCCCCTCGCCCAGAACACTTGGCAATGGCAGGAGAGATTTCTGAAGGTCATCACGCTGAGTGGGATGCTGCTGAATATCCTAAAATGTTCAAGACTGTCTCTCACAATAAAGAATTATCCTGTCCAAATTGTCAATTAATACTACTGAGGTTGAGAAACCCTGGTTATAGAGTCTGATGCAAGAAATGAGTCCCTTTGCTCAAGCAGCATCAATGAGAATTCCTCTAAAAAGTAAGGAGAGAATGGATCACCCTCTTACTCTAGGACTGAGTGCTTCAGCTTTCTACAATCTTACCTTATGTTACTGACTGGAAAGAGTCCAGTGGCGAATGAAGCCAGGCAAAGGTATGGAGTCTGACTAATTCAGAAACACAGCATGCTGACATCATCATTTGAGCCCCTGGATCCACAGTCAATTATGTAATAATCCACATACAGTCAATTATGTGCTCAAACTTCCTCATATACACTTTGTCTCATGACATTGACTGCAATTTACCACAATGCAACAGCTTCCCATCCACTTTCTCCCCAGTTACTTCTTCCTTGTGTCCTTCCCTCCATGTACTCCTGCCCCCTGAGCTGTCTCCCTGTGCACACACAGCCCTTCTTTCTCCCATGACTGTTCTCTCCAAGGAGTGTATCTACCTCAGATAAATGTTCAACTCATATGCCTGTCTTTTGTTTGGCTAGAAGCCACAGGAATGGGTTCAATTTCAGACCTAAAGGCAGCTAGAGGCCATAGTCTCAACAGATGAACCAACATATTCTTACCTTGCTTAAAATTAGTTAAGGTTTCTTTCCCTAGCAACTCAAGGAAAAAACAAAACACATCTTTGAAACAATTCAAATAAATCAAATGACCTCTTATGGAAGGGGCACTAGTGCATTAGAGTTTGGATTAATATCTATCAGTTGTGTCACTAAAGGAAAATACATGACATAATAAGCTGAATTGTCAATGTTCACTGAGTGCTTACTATGGGTCACCAAGATAATGTAAGCATTAGACACCTATAGTGTAAGCTTCATAATGATCTAATGGGGCAAGTGTAATTACTTCCATGACACAACAGGAAAACAGACTCAGAGAGGTTAGGAAACTTGTCATACTCTTGTTTCATGGTAAAGCTGGGATGCTCCATCAGATCTCTCCATTTCAAAGACTATGTGCTACCTTTTTTGAATAATTTGGGAACGCATTCGCAAAGCCCATTAACTTCTGCTTTTAGTCCCTTCAAATTCAGAGATTTAAAGAGATAGGTTTCACTAATGACTTACTGTGAACCTTAGCAGGAAAATTTGAGTACTTTGGCATTGATTAGTTGAATAATTTTTTAAAAGCTCAATCTCCTTGTAACTTGCTTAAAGAGCTAATGTATCTTCTCTGGATGTTTTCCTAGGTGAATTTCTTAAAAAAGTTTCTAAAATTGTAACTTTTCACTGTTCCTAGCTTCCTCAATCAAGAACACTTACCTCCTTTTAAATACACCAATTAAATATCCCATAAACATGAGTCCCCAGAGACAGTATTTTTTCAATAAGATTGTATGAGCAATTTCAAAAGACAAATTCATAGGCCAGGGTTTATAGATTTACCTATTGGTAAACATTTTCTCTAAGATCCAACCAAAACAAACACACTGCCAGAGAGTCAATTCCGACTCACAACAACCCTGTAGCACAGAGTCTAACTGCCCCTTGGGGTTTGCAAGGCTGTAAATCCCTATGGAAGCAGACTACCACGTCTTTCTCCTGAGAAGCAGCTGATGGGTTCAAACCAATGACCTTCTGGTTAGCAGCCTAGTGCTTAACTACCACCAGAGATCTTTTCTGTAAGATAGTGATTCTCAAAATGTGGTCTTCGGACTAATACTTCCAACTTCACCTTGGAAAATTTGTTAAAAATGTACATTATCAGCCCATCACAGACCATTTAAATCAGAAACTCAGGGGTCAGACCAGCAATCCGTTTTAACACCTGCCAGGTGATTCTGATGTATTCCAAGTCTGAGAACCACTGCTCTAAGAGGTAAAACTCAGACTCTAACATGTAAGTCCTTAGAGAAATCCATCTATGCAGACTCCAAAAATCTTCTTAAGTGACAAAAAAAGTGTGTAAAAAATCTGGTTAACAGTAGCTGTAATGATTCAGTCAACACCTCACGGTTCTCAGTATGGATTCTGGTATATTTACGGGCTCTAAAGCCAGTTACCAGCTGACCACTGTCCAGATTTTCTCACAACTGTAGAACTTTTTTGAGAGTGAAAACAGGAGAACAGATACTCAGGAAAACTAAAACTAACTATATAGCTATTTTTATACATTTGTCTTTGTATTAATCAGATTTTCTGTTTACTCCTAATTTAGAAGTTGATAAGTAAGCATTTTTATATAGCAAAATCTACGAAAGTTGGAACCAGTGTAAGGCAGAACCTGTCAGAGAAGGCAAACTAATATATTTTCCACTTATACAGAGTGATAGAAAAGTTAAGGGTAACACTGCACCCTACTAATGCCAAAAAATTTGTGAAACCCAGAAAAACAATGCAGTGCTATTGAGCTCCTGCTCTCACAGGTTTCCCTGCTATTTATTTCACTTAAAAAACCTTAAATCTAGCAACACATCTATTCGTAAGTAACCTACACGTTTTCCTTCCTGCAAGTCAGAGGCACTTGATGGATTAAACAAATGCTCTCTTCCATACATGTTGAGGGAGCCCTGGTAGGTGCAGTGATTAAGTAGTTAGCTGCTTCCTTCTGAAAGGTTGGTAGTTTGAACCCACCAGGGGTTTCACAGGAGTAAGACGTGGCAGTCAGCTTCCTAAAGAATTACAGGCTTAAAAACCCTATGGGGCAGCTCTATTCTGACCGACAGGGTCACTCACTGTAAGTCAATGACATCAACAGTTTTTTTATAGATGTTAAGTGTCCATACAACTATTTAGGAAATGAAAAGATAACCTATCAGTCATTCAGTGGACAAGGTACACTGTAAATGCAAATCCTGTCTGAACCACAGCCAATGTTTCTCTACTGATTTTGCTTCAGGAGTTTTGACTTCAATATCCTGTCAAAAAAGGCAGCATAATGGAAGAAACGTCAGGCCAAGAGTCTGATTTAGGTTCTACTCTCAGCTGTCATTCTGGTATGATTTTGGGCAAATACTTCATCTTTCGGAGCCCAAGTTTCCTGAACCACAAAATAGGAATAGTATTAGCTATGCAGTCTACTTCACAGAGCTGCTGAAAACAGGATGAAGGGAAAAGATGTGAACTTTCTTTACAAACTGCAAGAAGAGAACTTGCATAACATTACGTTTTCAAGATTAAAACAAATAATTGGTACGTAATTGTATTTAGACATCATCAAATGCTTCTAATTATATGAACTCATTTTGTAGTGAAATACAGTGTCAGCGTCTACTCTCAATCAGCTTTGGAACTGGTTTTCCGAATAGCCTACAAAAAAAAATTAGAACAGACTGCATACAAATAATCATCATCAAATGTACTCACTGTAAGTAATGAATAAATTCAAAGAGCAGGATTTAAATTATTTAAATTTCTGACAAGTATATTCAAAGTGCACTCAAATATGAAAATTTCAAACACATTAGTATCAGATCAATGTTACTGAATATCTACAAGCTATATGCAATGTTAAAATTCTCCCTCTCATCTCAAGAAAATAACAATGTCCAAAATCCACTGGGTTGCCATTCTCACATGAAGTATGTATCTCCTTGCCCCTTTTCATGGCAAAGGTGACAGAGAGACCCCCACTCCATTCTTAGGAGCCTAGACTGGGAGGGCAGCCTATTTAATATGTGATGTGTTTACAGAAATAAATAGGATTATAATGAATAAAAAATAAACATTTTAAAATATACTTACTTGAAGGGTATGGCTGTGGTCTGCGCCTTTTTGAAGGACAAAGGCAATCTGCCACAAATATCATACACTGCAAAATAAATATTGTAAGGAAACAAAATGTATGATGTTGCTAGTGCAATTACATAAAATTATCAAATTGTTTAAAATTCTATTTTTTTCCTAATACCCTGAAAATAAAGTACTTACAAGTCCTAACAATAGTCCTGAAAGCAGGGTTGCTAAAGCAAAAACTGTATACGATCCCCACACGGGTAATCCAAGGTCTTCAATAAAATAGTTATGGCAAGTCTAAAATCAGAAGGAAAATTAAAATATAAACCAGTAATTTAAAAAGTAACAGAGTTCCAAAAATGTTTAAAATAGAAATAAAGTTTTAGCCCATACCCTGATCCACATAGATAGTTGGAAGAGTGCTGACATACTACTCATCCTAAAAAAAGAGAGATGATGGAAAACTGAATAAAATACATAGCTCTGAAATACCATACACTGCACACTGCATCTATTCTATTCTATGCTCTATTATTTCCACCAATACAACATATTTCAAGGCTGATCTCAGGACTAGTGGTAAAATGATTGTTAGTGACAAGTAACTGAATTACTAATGGACATTTCTGAATTACTACTATGCAACTTCCCTGTAAATAAAATACTTTTCTTCTATTGCTTTGACATTAACGTTTCATCTTAATCTCTCTGGGTATTTGTAATAGTAATAATAATAAACTTTATGTTTAAGAAATTCATCCAAAGAATATCTTAGGTTACTTGTTTTTAGTAAGGAGTTAGTAACTGTATTTTGTGTTTAAAAAGTGCAAACAAAAATTCTCCTCTGTCCTCTGAGGTCAAATAAATGAGAGGCTACATGAAGTCCCAATATACTCTGAGCAACAGGCCACAAGATCTATGAAACGAGCCAGTTAAAGTTAGGCTGACTGTAAGAAAATGGCACCCTAAAATCCTCCAAAAAATAATCAGAGACATGAACCTGAGTAAGAAAAAACTGAGGAGAAAGGAACTAGGACGTAAGACCACCACCACCCTGCTCACACAAGGGATTCCTCTCCAATCTGGTATTTTAAGCAGAGGCCCTAGGGAGCCTTCTGGGAGGCTAGGAATAGGCATAGTGGTTAGATGGGGGCGTTCTGACAGCTGAAGGACAATTCAATTCACAAATTTTTCTCAGAGAGAAAGATCATGCCAAGGAAAGGTGTTACAGATAAACTTCTACTTCAAAACACTATGTAGGGCTGACATGATTCCCACTCCCAGAAGCCAGGGCTCTATTACTTCCTAAATGGTGAAACTCTCTATCTGCCAAGGCCAGTGTGGTGAGGGGACAGGAAAAGATAACTCAGCCACACCAAGATGTGTCCATGGTGACTTCAGCAAAACGTGCTATTCCAGAGGACTCCCAGATGACCAGTGAAGCCTTACATCCCCACCGCAGAGACAGCAGGAAACATGCTTGGCATCTCCTACTCCTCCTACTGCTCCACAGAAATGCAGAAGAAATACAGCTAGCTATCTATAAAGCTCAGCAGTCATTTGTCATTGCTCATACATAATATCCATATAAGCTATCAGACAAGTGAGATAACCAAACAAACATCAAGAACTAAAGTCTAAAGGGAGTATAAGTGGGTAAACATTTGAGGCTTTTCCTTTAAATTTTAAACTCAAGTGACAGTTTTACATTGCTCATACTCTTGAGGAAGATTATGTCTCTGCTGATGCACATGGCCATAGCTAAAATATGCCTGAAAAGGGATTCAACTTAATTTTACAGAATGCCCCTTTCTAACTTAAGGAAGAAAGTAGAATCTGTTCTGATCTTATTTGGAGTAGTATGTAATAAATCTAAATATACCTTAACAACGCAAGAAATAAACTGAGCATGAATAATTTCTCTACATGAAGTACAATTATGTTTAACTCTTGAGAAAAATCATTTATACTTACAGAATAGAACCTGGACCAAACCATGATGAAAGAGGTTCAATACTCTTCCATTCTTTTTCACTTATAAAGTTAATGAAGTCCTTCTTAGTCCTTGGGCCCTGATAACGCCTAAATTCACCATCTTTACAACTAAAGAGGATCAAAATAAAAAATTAGCCAGCACCTCATAAATAACAGATTTTGTTCTGCTATTGCTTCACCTCATTTTATAGTCAATCTTAATATTGAAAATCATTAGTACTGCACAGGTGACAAATTAAATTCATTATCTACTAATGACATCTTAACCCCTAATTTCATTAAACAATGAGTTTACGTTTTTAAACAATAATAATCCTTATTATAATAATAAGACTTTATCTTACTGTTACCAATAATAAAACTATAGGATACAATAAGTAGATAAATCTTAGAAATGTTAAGTCTTGTGTACATACACATATTAAAGGAATTACTATATGAAAAGTTGTTAGAATAGTGTCTGACACATACTAGCTATTATTAAAAGCTTAAGGTATTACTTCAGTCATCATCACATCACTGCCACCACCATGCTTTAAATCCCTGGGCTCATCTGGTACAGTGCTGCCCTTCCTCCCATTTTTAATCATTTCGCTTCACAGCCTATTTTGAATCTTCCTTATACTCACTTCCTCCTCTCACTTCCCAATGTATGGAGTTCAGGGACAAGCCTGTAACCCTCTCCTTGTGCCGCATCTTCACCATTTCCAGACCACCCTAAATAACACAACCAGTCTAATCCTCTTTAATTAACACTGCTGTTTTTATTACTTAAGTACAAAAACTTCAATAGCTCCCTACTACCTATGGTAAGGGTATTTTATCCACCCAGAGCTGAAGACCACAATGAACATTCACCATACCCTCCAAAAAATAAAAAGTTTGGTGGAGAAGGTGGCATTTGAGCTGTTCTTTGAAGGATGTGGAGGATTTCGAGAGACAGAAAGGTCATGGTAAAAAATGTGACTAAAAACAAAGGAGTAGGAAATTCCAAAAAAGTTCAGGGAATGTTGAGGCATGAAAAGAAAGGGAAGACTGCTTACAGCCAGTCAAGAGGCAAAGAGGGAGTAAGAGTGAGTGATAAGGCAGAGAGAAAAGCACTCACGGAGACAGAAAAGAAACAGGTCCGGGAGTAGGGATGAATAAAACAGATTCCAATGCTAAATGACAAGAAACAGCAATACAGGAAAATGCAAAGAACTGCCAACTTACTGTTTTCATAACTTTAAATGAATAACGACATGCATGTTGGTATGTAACCCACCAGGTAGATAACATTAGGGTACACGGCAGGTACACAGATTTGAGGTAAACACTCATAGTTTAGAAAATAAAGTCAAACTAAAAGACCTGATTCTGAAGACGTCATTATCTTTGTTCATTCTGACTTAGCACACAAGCACATCAGTCACCATTCTCCCCAAGGATGAGCCACAGCACTTTCTCAGCTATTTGTTCAACACACCATTCTCTTACTACACGCTATTTATGCTATCATCCTAGGATGGAACAGCTACCCTGCACTCTTGAATATTCTACTCCACCTCCAAGGTCACACCTCAACTCTACATTCTCCTGGGACTACTCCAGCCCACAGTGATTGCTTCCTAACTTCACTTCCTATAGGACTTAGAATCTGTGTCACTTCTGGGAGCTCACAATCATTTATTATGCTGGCTAGTGTTACACCATCTCATGTGAATGTCACATCCAAAACTGAGAGACTTTGAGAACAGGAACTGTGTTTCCTACATCGTGCATGTATCTGAAGGCACCCAGGACAAAAGCGTATCAGCTCTCTCATGTACCTGCTGAACATAATTATCTCAGCTCCTTCAACACACTCTAAGCCAGAGACCTGCACTCTGAATATTATACTGTGATGCATCCTTCTCCATAACTAGAGCATCTCCAAATACTTACTGATAAATAGTAGGAAGAGCGGTTATGATAAATCGTCCACTCAGTCCTACAAAAGGATATAAAGAAATATATGTTTAGAATTAAACATAAGAAAGTTCATACAACAGGTCTTATACGGGCCATTTACTAGCTACTTTAAAGCTGATTCTGAACTATTTAAATACTAATAGGGAAAGAATATTATACCTGAAATAGTTGAGTTTGGTAACAAAGAACAAAAAATCTCAACTATGTACTTATAGCAACTTTAAAAAGACTACAGTTTCTCAATAAAACAATAATGCCTGAATATTGCAAACATCTGTAAATATATACGATTACTTAGTTGATTATGCTATATAATACCACTAGTGATCAGTCATTGAACAGCATAATATGAGAACACCATGTTAGAAAGGTATGAAATCATATTTGACCTTCAAGAAACAAAAGCAGAATTTAATGTGTTGCTAAAAATGGAAAATATTATGAATCTTTCATAAGGGGCAACAATATTAGCTAATATTTATTATTAACCATATGCCAAGCACTGATAAAATGAAGATTAACCTTGGTACCTCAGTTTTCATACATGTAAAATGGGGATATTACCTATCTCACAAGGTTGTGTGTGGTTTAAATAATAAAAACAACACATACGGAAGTCAGTAACAAGTAAGTGCCCAATCAATATCAGCTATTATTATCATTTGGGTTGGGGGGAGAGGAACTCAGGATTAATTACCAAGAACAAGTAAGATGAGGCTGGACCAAAGAAGGTGCTCTCTCCTGGGCAGGGCATGCCACTTGTTCAGGGGGCCAAGCCAGGAGTATTCCTGATCTCACAAGCACGAGGGCAACTGGGTTTCTGGTTTTTGTCTTCAAATCATAGCTATTAAACTTGGGGAAGTCTGACTTCAGAGATTTGGATCTTCTCCTGTCAGGGAATTTAACCTTGGAACCTACAAAGAACCTCAACCACACACTCCTTATTCTGAAGCTTGGTGTCAATACAAATGATTGCGTGGTCAAGGTACACTGGCACTACAGTGTTCTGAGACTTCTGAAAACTATCCTATATGTTAGTCTGGGGCCTGAGATGCAAATAAAAAATGATCCTAGGTAATTATTTGGGCAAGCAGCAGGCAGGTGATGTCTCCAAGGTCCCTTAGAGCAACACATACAAGGAATGAGCTACATACACAACCAAGGAGTCTGCTTTTTGCAGCCATTGCACACTGAGCCCCCACCAACGAGGTAGGCCAGTCGGCTTAACTAGCTGCAGACCTTATGTTTTTAAAACCTAATGAAAGGAAAAGTTAGTAACTGTTAATGTGGAAAACAGAATCAGCAAATCAGCTCAGTCTGCAAAGAAACACAACTAACCCACAGACTTGTAGTACCTGGCTGCTCTGTGACATCTACTTTCGCAACATTGACCTCAAGATCTTCTCCCCATTCAGCAAAACTTTCCCATTCTGGTTGAAGATTTTGACAAGCAGGACACCAAGGAGCATAACTGAGAAATATAGTTTTAAAAAAAAGAAAAGCAAAGAACTAAAGATGAAAGGTATCTAACAATTTATAGATATTTTACAAATAAAAACAAATATAATATAGCAAGATTTAATATATACAGATCACTGAAGAACAGACAAACTTCAAAAGTGCTTGCACCTAATCACATAATTTTTTTAAATGTGGTGGTGCAGTGCCTAAGGCTGGCAGTTCAAACCCACCAGCCACTCCTCAGAAGGAAGTTTGGGCAATCTACTTCCATAGAGACACCACCTGGGAAACCCAAGGAGGGGTGGCTATGAGTCGAATCGACTCAACAGCAATGTGTTTGGTTTGGTTTTTGGTATACTACAAAGTTAATTAGGAGCTCTGGTAGCATAGTGCT